ATAGATTTTCATTTGTGAAATGCTTTGCTGTTGTAAATCTATAATAGGGAAGCCAGGGGACTGGTTTTGACAGTAAATAATAACAAGCAACTTATCCTGTGGTTTTAAAATTTTTTATCAGAATTTTCATTTATCACTATTTTTATGACAGATGCCTTTTAGAGATGGACGATCCGCTCTGGAACCTATTCACTTTAAAAAACAAACGATTAGGGCTCAGACGAAAACGGAACGGCAGTTCTGTGACGGCTAACTGAGAGATGTTGCTGCGGAGCCTTACTCTTAATGTAAACATTAGCATTCTTTCCTTTATTATTTACTGAAAACGTCTCTGACCTGGTTTTTATGTGTGTTATGCATGTATATATATGTGTGCATTGGGTTTGCTTCTGTTCCATCTAGTATTTTAAACACAAGACATTAAATATACCGTTTCATCTCAGCGAAACTGTCTACCCTTGTTTTCAAATTGTTGTAGCTTATTTTTCCCATCTGGCACGGCGAAGATCTGTTTAAAGCAACGATTCTCAGGCGGTGGTGTGTAAGAGAAAAATAGATGATACGTAAAGAAGCAAAGTATTTTTAACTATTAAATTCAAAAATTAAGTAGCCCAACAACCTGTTTAGGTTTATCTCTAACACTTGTACATTTATGCGATCTGAGCAATGTTCAAAGCCTGTTGTTGCTTCTGTTTTCACAAGCATTCTTTTAGCCATAGACATAACATTTATCATAAATTATGTTTTGAAATGAATAATAGAATTGGATGTTGTATTTAATAAGAAATAAAAATAAGTTCCTATAAAAATATAATAGTATCTCATTAATTTATATAAGAGGAGTCGATTTATTCTCATGTCTACTTTTTATGTTGCCACTAATTCCGGCATCACATTGCTCTATTTTGAATTAGAATAATTTTTTACTTCGATTTGATGTCTCTAACAGCAGTTATTTTATCTCCTTGTTGCTTTGTGTTCCTTACTTTTCTACGTAGTTTGAGAATATCGTCGTTTATTTTTGAAGAACTCATAATTTATTGTGCATTTAAATATTTGTGAAAAATTAACGAAACAAAAGTAGATTTTCGAAATGGAGAAATGGCCAGGTTGGATTAAGAGGAAAAGTGATGATTCACAGGTGATGGATACAGGACAATCTACTAGCAGTACTACAGTCAAAAGTCGTTAATTCGGACCTCAAAGCTAAAAACTTTCTGTGCATGCGCCGCATTGACACATGCGCATAGGCGTTTACGTGTGAGCGTAAGACCTTTTACGTCTGTGCATATGCGTGTGCACATGCACATAATACGTTTACGCATGCGCGTAAGACCTTTACGTCTGTGCATATGCGTGTGCACAAGTGCAGCATAATACGTTTCCGCATGCGCGTTTAATGTATAATGGACTGTATAAGCTAAAATTATCTAATTATCTATTTCAGTTAATGTTGATGATTGCATTGGTCCTTAATTTTCGAATTGGATCCGGCTTATTATTTTTTGCAGACTGTAAGAGTAATACTATTAAAAGTAAACTTGAACTTTCGATTATGTCAAATAGAATTTCCAATTCCAGAGCTCCCAACGGATCGTACAAAACGAAAGTATGTTTCGATGTCCATCAAACAAAAAGTAGAATTGCTGAAAAAAATGGATAAAAACATGAAGAATGTGACAGAGAGGTTAGTGAAAACGAAAAAATTTTGATTGACAAGTTAGTCGGTATTCTCGGCACAGCAATTAACGGGACTTGAACAGCGGAACTTTGTAACTGATTAAGAAATTATGCCTGTTTATAGAATTAAAAAGAAAGTATTATCACATAAACCGAAGCAACTTAAACAAATTACATTGAAAGAAATGTTTAATAAAGTAAACAAATAAATATTAAGCTTTTTTTTTTTTTTTTTTAATTTTGATACCCTTTAAATCATAATTGTTCTTTATTTCATAAATTACGGTTTCATATTTTTAATTTTAGAATTTCTGCATGCCATCTTACAAGATTTAAACTGATGATCTATAATCCGGAATTGCCGAAGTCCCAACGAGTCCGGATTAACGACTTTTGACTGTATTATAAAATAGTTCTTTCTAGCTTCCTAGAGAGTCCGCGAAAGGCATGACAAAAGTGAGAGGTCCTTAAATGAATTTCCAAGGGAAAATCACAGAAATAAATTTCATGGAATGTTTTGGAATTCAAGTATTATAACTTAAATTTGGATAATTAAAATGGTAACAATTTTTAATCTAGTGTTTTTTTACGTGTGCATATTTAATACAAATAGCCAATAGGTTGTGCAAATGGCAAAATATATATTGTTTTAATATTTCAAGTGAGAAACTGAAAACTACTCATTTAAAATGTAGTACAGGTACTAAAAATTTTTAATTTTTATTTAGGTGGTACGAGATAGTCAAAAGGTTGAAAACAAACTGCTGGTTAAATTATGTAGATTATATGAACTAGTTCTTCAGACTTTCAGCTGTCAGCACTCGACGCTAATCGCAGATCTGTGTCCATTTGAGTCGTGATTATTCCCTTTTTTATTGCTCCTGCATAGCCGCAAATCTGGGTCCTACGGAATGTTGACTATTTGTACTTTTCGCTTCCTCGGAGCTGTTACTTTGAGTTTCATTTCGATTCTTTAAACACTGTGTCGCAGAATAGCTATCTGTATTAGGTATTACCTTTCTTATTCAATATTACTGTAATATTTATGTAAAATAATAAATTATGCTTTTATTTATTTACTTATTTTATTAACATCTTGCGAACAAGAGCTGTGAATTTCTCTTCAGTCTTCTTAAGAATTATTATATAGTATTTATAAACATAAATTCTTCCATCTAATGTATTTTTTCAAGGTTACAAAACAAAATGGGGACCCCCACTGAATAGAAGAACCTTAGCAATATTTGCTTTCTTTTTGTCAAATTAGAAAAAAAGGAAATCGCCGATACTGTCAGCTGACAAGTTCCTGTTCTCTGGGATCTGCCTCCTATCTAAAAATTTTCAGTCTGTACTTTGTAGTAGCAACAAAATATCAATTACAGTAATAAAATAATGTAATCTCTAACGAAAGTGAGTTTAGTTTTCAATATTTTTCAACTTTTACCACTTTTTTATTCCAGATTTTTATTGTGCTATGTACAAAGGTTTTTTTAGGAAATCTTAAAAGTACAGTTGAAAGAAATCAGCCCAGGAAGTGAGCGGTTTGGTTGAGTTGATTCCTCCTCGTTCATTTCTCTCTGCTTCCCCCCCCCCCTTGATCCACGCCAGTTCCGAGCGCATTCATGAAAGTCATTGTTAGTGACCAATGACTTATTAAAAGAACTGATTCACTTCAGTGAGTGAACAAGTCCCTTCTAATACCTTAAAGGAGAGGATTTATCCATCTCTAGTCCTTTTACATAAGTCCAGCCAATACCTGTTGAATTGAATACTGAGAGCATTTTGTTTCACCATTAACTACCTAAAAAATATTTCGTAAATTTTTGTTTAAGGTAAGATTTTTGGTTTTTCCTAAAAAATTTTATCTATTTATTTTTCTATACATTAAATTTTAGAACGGTGTTTTAATTTCTTCTATTAATAGTAATATTTTTCATACATGTGGAAGCGCTAAGTTTTGCAGCCATCAAAGGGCCCTACACGACACGCAGAACATTGCTTTCTTACCTGAAAGACGATGCCAACGGCAAGAGAGACTAGTCGAACCACATGCATGTGGTGGCTATTGATTTTTGTTCTGATTCCGTTAGTGCAAGAAGGTGCCAATTAACTGTAATTAAGCATCAAGTGATGCAAATTTGTGTTTAAGTAGCCCGAAGAAGCGATAAACAACTGCCTTATTTTACTCTAATCTGCTGTAGTTACTATACGTTCTGTGGGTGAAAAGAACGATCCTCATTCTTTACCGAGTGAAGGTAGTTAACTTCTCCACATAAATCTTTAAATTAAGTCCGAACCGTACGATGGGGCAAGTTGTAACATATTGCAGCTTGCGCCGAGATGTCCATGTAGTTTAATATATATTTTCTTTAAATAATAGTTTAATTCTTTCTTCTTTAAATATCAGCATTCAGATTATTCGAATTACTTTATTCTATCTAGTTTTCTTTCCCAAAATAGAAAAATTGATTTTTCACCATCAAAGAGGAAACCTCTTTTTAAGTTTTAACTTCGGAAACAGTCTAATAGTGGCCGATGCAAAAGGAATTCTGCCGTTGTAACTCATACACCCAAAACCGAAATGTTGGTAAAAGAAAATGAAAAAATAATAAAAAAAAAGAAAAGATGAAAAAAATCAACATAAATAAATAAAGAAAGAAAGACATAAAATGAGGAAAGGGAGGAATTTGAGCTCAGATACAAAGTGTGAAACACATAAGCGGTTATGAGTTGACTACTGTCAGCGTTGCTGATGAAGAAGAACGGGTGTAATGCTCAATTTGCAAAATGTGGACACAGTTTTAATTGTATGTTAACAAATAATCTATCCTATGTTTGTGTTGACTTCATTTCTGATGAAAACTGACTTTTATGTTGATTGGTTAAATAATTTAACTTTTGTTTGCTATTAACCAATTGACATCATTCATTGTCGTTATAGCAAGTAATAATAATCACCAAATGTTCATCGTTACTCTTTGTTTCAAGTCTGCCAGAATTTACCTAAGTAACTATACTAGTACACATTAATATAATATACTATATATTTTTATACTATAAAATACAGCAATTATAGTTATGGAATAATAAATATATTTAAAAATACAAACATTTTCCCAAAAAGTGTTAAACACTGTCTCTAGCTCCACTACACGCACTTCGTTATTATTGCTTGTTTTTGTTGGCTTGGTAGAAAAACTTACGGAAAAGAGCAATAAATATTATTTGAATGACAAACAATAAATTAAAAAAAGTTCTCGTTTATGTGAAAAACGAAAATGGACATTTAAGATATATCAACCCTTTTATTAAATATTTCATCTTATACAAAAAATTTACACATAATTAGAATTGAGGTAACGAGTCCTCTTTTCTAAGACTTTATGCATAAGCCAAAAAATCAATGCATTTTTCCATCAGTCTTTAAGCTGTAGTTCTTTAAGCAGTAACGAGGGTAATCTCAGTTTAATAGTATCTTTCTCCACATTTCTTACGTGTTTTCTAATTGTTATGTTGCACAAGTGTTCCAACGTAAGGCACATCTTTGATGCATAAATAACGTAATTAAACAACTCAAGATTTTGCTCATTGAGTAACTGGAACTTCTCAACAGCTCGATGACTGTTTCCCAATTTTGGGCCCTTAAACTAGCGCCGCAAATAATAAGTAGATTAACCAATCTCATTCTACCATATAAACACGCATAGAACATTGGAGTAAAACCCACTACATCATGTCTGTCGATGTCACTTCCACAAATAAGTAATTTGCGAACCAATTTTTCTTGATTTGTTTCAATGGTAATGTGGAGAGCTGTTCGACCATCGGAAACAGCAGCATTAACATCACATCCACGTTCTATCAACAGCACACATAAATCTCTGTATGAACAATTTTGTCCTATATTTGAATTTTCTTCGGAGGCAGACATTTCTATAGCAGCTATCAGTGCAGTTTTCCCAAAAATGTGGGTATGGTTGATCTGCGAAAGAAAGAGGATATAAGATATCACATAATTCAAAATATTTGAATAACAAGAGTTAAAAAAAACTATCCCAAATAGTTAATGAACCATAAAATCACTATTAAACACTCATACAGAAAACTAATCCCTTCACCTGAATGAATGTTTAAAGATGCAAAAGTAAATGAAAGAATGTCAAAAGTTTAAAATCACTTAATCCATTATTGAATTAAGTAAACTACTGAGGCAACATTTCCCGTACTAATCATTATGAACATGATTTTTTATAAGAAATTACGTATATATAAATTATTGACAAAATTTATTACTTTTTGTCTATAATTTATATATATATATATATTATAGGCAAAAACGTAATAAATTTAGTTTAGTTAAATTAGTTGTGAATTTATTACTAGATTTATTACTTTTTCATTATTAATTAATATTTCAGCAGCATTTTGTGTGGAAATGAATTGGGATATCTTTGTTGTAAGAATTTCTATGATACTATACATACATATGTATATACTTGTGTGTGTAAGACATAAAACATGACGAAACGTTATTAACAAATTAAACTTAAATGTAACAAATTGGAATAGTCCTTTAAAGTCCTCATTGTAATCCTAAACAACCCCCTTCAGTATATCTACAGTGAATCATTGAAGTCTACAATGAGTCTTTTCCTGCAGTTTCTCAGCATTTCTGCAAACGTTTGCCCAATCGTAGTCCAAAACTCAAACAACTCGCTTGCTTGCTGCAAAGTCTCTCTCTTCACAGTACTTCTTTTTCCTACTAAGACGTAAGCTGCATATACAAAACTGTGGAGTGCGTACATTTAGATTACAATGATATGGGTTGTCATTGCCTACTTCGCTGATGTTTCATGCTACATTTTAATATTTCATAATGGCATGCACATAAGTTTAACTCATTCACCAAACACGTAAATCTCTAATTGAGCCCCCTTTTGTTCTTACGTGTACTGTATCTTCTATTTTCTTTAATATATTGTTTAGCCTAATTTCAATCTTATGATCAAGCTGAAAAGTCACTAAACTTTGGTAGTTCGACCCGAGTTTCTAATCCCAGGAATTTCCTAGCACCTTTCTTTTTTTATACTTATTTACTGTGTAAAAATGTCTTATAAAAATTTCAGTTCATGAAGCGAAAATATTTTAAAATTTATTTTTTAAAAATATTGCAAAAATTTTCATCTTCACCTTAGCATATCTTTTTACAAATCCCTTTAATAAGGAAAGAAATCAACTAGGATTCGATGATTGATACCTTGCCCCATATTATACGTAACTTTTTCCAAAGGCATAGAGTTTATATGGATATCAGTAACTTAAGGATTATTTCTCCATCTAATTTTTTTAACGTGTTTATTCCAGAATTTTCTTTTCACACTGTAGCGCTTAACTTTATGAGTTTTCTAAAATCATTCAATTCCTGTAGTTATGATAACTTTGCATACCTTCTAACAAGTAGTTATATTTTTAACCACTGTATTTTAATTCCTGTTGACTATGAGTGTACAATTATTCACTTGTTTCACGAGTGCAAATATTTATTTTGTACGCAAATCTACGTAAAATAGCAATAAAGCTTGAGTTATGCGGAGCTCCTGATCGATTGCTTGTTTCAGATTGAATGAAATTAAGCTTAATGTTACTGTTAATTAGCTTGTTATTAATTTAATTGTACGTTTCTAATTAATTATATGTTCAGATATTTCCAAGCATATTACACAAACTTTTGCATACCAAATTTTAGTTTTTAGTTATTAGCTTTTATTTATTGAGAGTACTGATTGATTATATTAATTTGGAGTACTGTTTATCTAATTCTTTTGTTCTAGATAAATTTTAGTAAAAACGTCTTGGCATAACAATTTAAACTTATTTGCAATTTATACGTCAGTGTTCCAAACGCATAGTAATATTGTTACAATGGATTTCATGCTAAGCTTTTTTTAAATTTAACTAATAATTTCTGAAAATATTTACACGATAACTTTAATTAACAAAAAATATTTCTAACACACTTTGATTCGGAATAATCTTTTGCACGCCATATTAAATTTTTCAGTCTAGTTCAGACATCTTGACTATTATTGATGCAATTTATAAAAAAATATAATTGGTATGCTGTATAATTATTTAATTTATGATATTATTATAATACTCTTTGCTCTAATATTGTAATTAATGAAAGATGTTTGTAATGCTAATATGTATGTTTACCAAAACTTTTATTTTCTTCGTTAGCTCTCCCATTTATTACTTTCATTCAAGTAATTAGCCTGCTTGTTAGATATTCTTTACTTGTTCTTCTGATTATTGATATGTAAATCTATTTCTTTATTTTTATTTTCCTCGTGGCTACAGTTGACTTTGAAAAGTTAAATTGTAACCCTGTAGGCAATGGTGGAAAGAAATTTTGATTCGCGCAGTTGGACTATAGCAGGACGGGAGAAAATTTTCATTCGGTCAGTTGGAGCCCACCCGTTTTACGTACATTTGAAAAGAAAATATATAAATATATTTCAGTATAAATGAAAACAATTCTCTCTTTCCAAGCAACATACAATTCATAATTTTTTTTTTTTTTTTTTTTGTTGTTGTTAAACTAGGAAACAAAAACATTTGACACTTTAGGTTAATACCATGACGTCATGACTTATATTTAATATAATATAACAACTTTTACTCAATATCAATACAAGAATTAATGTGAAAATAACATATCGTGCCAATTATCCTAACCCGAAACAAAATTTAAAAGACATTTTAAAAGTATAGATGACAGCTTTACTCCTAAAATTAGTTACATTAATTTCTGCAGTTTCTTTTAAATATAAAAATTAGTGAATTGCTGAAATTCGTGCCAGAAAAATAAGATTATATATTTATTTAGAAAAAAAATTTTTTTTAATTCAATACTAAGAATAAACTGGCTAAAGTTGCTCTGATCATCATTAAATTTACATGTCAAAATGTAAATTTTGAATTGTGTAGTGGTATGCAAAAAATTTATATATTTTGCTTAAAAATTAATACTAAATATTTTTCATTTAAAACACTGGTTTGATTCTGTTACTTACGTTTGCACCGGCATCTAAAAGAAGAGATGCAATTGGCGTTGCGTATTCTGCAACGTTAAATGCAGCATTTAGGAAAGGATCATATCGCAGGTCTTCGTGAACAACCACACTACTGCCTTTTTGCAAGAGAAACTGAATAACATCTGGAGAACAATATCTACAAGCTTCGTCTAAGGGAGTCTGTCCAAGATTGTTAGGCAGGTTAAGAATATATGCTGGTGAGCACTCCGTTAATAACTTTATAGTTTCTGAAAAAAAAATTGCATACATTAGCTTTGATCATATAATAAATTCAAAAACATGAAAAATATCATCGATAATAATATCACATGTGAATTGGGTTCCTTTTTATGGAGTAGCAACATAAAATTTAGAAATGTTTTATGCATTAGCCTCAACTTATATGGGGAGGAATTGCCAAGTAAGTGCACCTTTCATAAACAAAATGGGCATACTATTCTATATCTCAAGTTCTACTTTGCTGAATTACGATATTAAACTTACTTTTTTCATGTCTCGAAACGTTGATATGTAGCATTGTTCTAACATAGGTATAAAATCGTACTTTTTCTGAAATTGCATACCGATTTTTTTCCATATTTCGATTCTACGATTCAGATTATGCCTAAAAAATCACACGAATAGTTTTTAAAAAATTAGCTCTCAATGTTTCAGCAGGGCAATTTTAATTGAAATTTCTATGTATTTATTAATATCTCTTTTTTGATTAACCCTATTTGATTCTTTTTCACAGTTCGAGATTTAGGTTCAATCCAAATAAAATTCGCAGTTATTTTCTGATTTGTTTTTGAAATTTGTATTTCAGAGTAATTAAAAAAATTTTCAGAACAATTTTTCAATTATAATCCATCAAATTTTTGCCATCATCTTAAAGTAGATGCATTTCTAGGCATACCTGCAAAAGATTGGTTTTTCATTCAAAATTTCCAAAGATATACAAGAATTTATACATTGTGTACGTATTGAAATGTGGCATATTTGTAATAATATCAAATGTGATTTACGCACGTTGTTAAAATTATTTGAAAGTATGAACGATGCATCCCCTTTTTACGCTTGCGCATAAAGAAAAAATCTGATGTGTACACCACATGACTTCCTTGTACGGAATATTAAATTATATGCATTTTTTCTTGCATTTTATTTAAACTTATTAGATTGAATTAAACGTACTTCTCCGACAGCGCATAAACCACAATAGAATAAATGCATTCTTTAAAATTCACTTTGTTTACCATAGCGACACTCTGGCGCTAGGTTTACTTAACAGTATTATATTTCATTCATATTATAACTCAGAATGCATAAAATGTATATCATTTAAAGAATTATCTAATCATTGCCACATGCTCTATTCAAATACTATAATAAAGCTAGAAATATGTATAAAAGAAATTAAACAAATAAAACAAAAAAGAAACCATTTTTCACAGACGATTGAGTATTTCTCATTTAATTTACTCAGTTCTTACTTCGCGAGAAGGCAAAAATACATAAAAACTCAAAATATCTGTATTAAAAATTACGAAGTAAATATCAAACGCTTATTTCCTCGAAAAAATTCCAGAAAGAATTAAGCATGATTTAATTGGCAATAATAAATGAATGCGTTATCTTTGTTGTCGCGAAGCTAAGTTTCTCTAGATTGGCAACAAATCCACTAGTCTCCTGTTTCAAATGTAAATATCAAAGGCCGCCATTAAAAACAGGCTTAGCGGCAATTAATCAACTTTAAAATTGCTGATAATTCTAAAAATATTGCACACAGATTTACTAAAGGCATAAAATCCTTAACCGGAAGATAAAAACAACATAATTCAATCATTTTTAAAGAAAAAAATGTACAATTTACAAACATATAAGAGTAAAGAAACTGAGATCGTTGAGCCGGGTAACAAAGTGGATATATACGATGGTTGAAACTTTAATAGTGGCAACTATTTATTTATAAGGAATACAAAAGTGTTTCATGTCGCCATGTTTTACAGTCCTTCAATATAGTCGCCAGCATTGTGTACAACCCGTTTCCAACGATGTGGAAGTCGCAGAATACCTGTAGCAGCACCTGTTTTGTTGATAGTTTGAATGGACCGGTCTACTGCCACAAGAATCTCAGGAACAGTTTGGAAGCGAGTGCCACGAAGCGGTTCCTTCATCTTAGGAATTAAGTCATAGTCACAAGGGCATAGATCTGGGGAGTATGGTGGATGGTAAAGCACTTCGCAGCCCCATCACTTGAACAAATCAGTCACAGCTTGCGCTGCATGCGGCCGAGCATTGTCATGCAAAATGAGAGGAGAGCTCTGCAGAAAGTGTCGCCGTTTTTTTCTCAAAGCTGGTCGGAGATTGTGCTCCAAAAATGAGTAGTAATACTGCGCAGTGATGGTCTGCTGTGGGGGGAACGGTATGCGTTAGGATGACACCATCACAGCCGTACACGAGAATCACCATAACTTTCACATTGCTGGGATTCTGACAAAATTTCGAACGTCGTGATGACCCGTGATGACGCCATTCGTTTGATTAGCGTTTCAGTTCTGGCTGGTACGATCGGGCTTAAGTCTCATCCAATGTAATGATACGGCGTAAAAAAGCATCTCCTTCGCGCTCCAGGTTGATTCGGGCAGCATCGTATTGTAGCCGTTTCTGCATTTCTGTCAATTGATGTGGAACCCATCGTGAAGCAATTTTTCTCATGGACAGGCGTTCGTTCAAGAATGTGCAGCACAGTCGTATGCGCTAATCCTGTTTGTCCGGCCAGCTGACGAATCGTTTGGCGGCGATCACTGTCCATTAAAGCGGCAACAGCTTGCATGTCTGCATCGCTGACATTAAGACGACCTGGCCGCAGCATGTCTGCCACGTTTTGGCGTCCTTCATTGAATGCTTTCACCCATCTTACTACGGTTCTGTAAGGCAATGCAGATTCCCCGCAAGCCTCTTGAAGCCCTTGATGACACTGTCGTGCTGTACGACCTCTGGCACATTCAATTTTTATCCAACATCGTTGTTCTTGTTTTGAAAACATCCTGACAACACATACTTTAGACCGCGAGCTAATACAAGGATCCGTTCTTCGCGTCACTCCGCATGCGCATGACGTAGGCAGGACGAGTCTTTTTGCTGAGAGGTAAGGTAGGTATGTAATTTACGTGTGGTATATGCGATATTCTTTGGTTTTTGTTGCGCAGCATTTTTTTCAGCTGTGTTGCCACTATTAAAGTTTCAACTCTCGTATATAAATATATTTATATATGTTTGGTGCGGTTGATTGCAACCAAAATACGAGGTGCACATCTACATGTTATAACAGTTCTATATACAAAATTTCAACGTTCTGAGGCTACTCGTTTTTGAGTTATGCGAGATGCATGCATACATACGCAGTACATACGTATTGTACGTACTTACAGACGCCACGAAAGAAGCTTTCTCCTCAGAATTAATGTTAAATCAGTTTTTGCAATTTTTTGAAGGAAAAAAGGAGTTTTTTTATTCCTGTCCTTACATACAGATATCGCGCAAAAACATCGTTCAATTGCATTCGATAGCGGTCAAAATGGATATTTTCGTTGAAATATGCTGCCTGAAACTTTTCGCGATTACAATACTTCCTTTTTACTTCGTACAAGGAAGCAAAAAGGGGATAGGAAAATAGGTTGCTATAAATTATGAATTTCGTCAAGTAAGTTATTCTTGGCATAAACTGAAATAAAGTGCGCCAAGATAAATTTTTAAATTTCTCGGTAAATTTCTCACCAAAGTTTACAAAATTTGAAATTTGGGCATGATATGAGCCGTAGAATCGAAATATGTTGGCATTGCGTTTAACAAAAAGTCCGATTTTGAGTCAAAATACCTAAGTTAAACTATGCTATATGTAAATCTAATATATATCCTATGTTGCGCTTTCAAGACATGAAAAATGCAAGTTAACTTTCGTCAATCGGCCTTTAGAATGGGAAATATAGAAATGTCCTTTTTTATGCAAGGTGTACGTCTAAATCATTCTTCGACGTTCTTGAAGGTTGAATTTTTGTCACAGCACGTGAAGCACAGCCTACCCGTATTCGGCCCTCATATTCCTTGCAGTAATTTCAAGAAGCAAAAAGTACTGGAAATACCTCGGTGATCGGGTGAAACGTATATAGACCGGTGAAAGCATCTGCTCTCAGTTATTGCAGTTGTTAGCTTGGAGCGACTTTGGAGAGTTTCGCCTTTTAGATGGGTTTAGCATTCTGTTGTGTTTAACGTACCTAGTAGTTTCAAGTGTAACTACAGATTGTGCTCTGGGATGTTATGAAGACCTGCACCAGTATTTTGACGTCTTTCTTTTTATATAATAAAGTTATTAGCCTATCATGGGACCTGTATACATTCAGTGCATTACGAAACCCTGCACACACAACACTATTCATACTGCGTTTTTTCCTCTGTTTACACCCTTGCGGTTTCAGATTCTCGCTCTTAGACTTCCTCAGAGGCACACGAACAAAAATGCATGTTCACATCTTTAGAGATTAAATTATCTGAATTTTTCCAAAGAAATCAAGTTTTCAGCCATATTTGCGTTAGATTTGAAGAAAACCTCTAAACCAGTTCATTTTCCACGATTTGAACGCTGCTCGAACAACTACAGTTTAATGATCTCACTGCTCAGCAGCTGGTACGCTCCATCTATGTTGGTGAGTAAATGCCCTTGTTAAAGTTGTTTGATTACTTTCTTGTATGATTAAAAAATGACTCCTTTACAAATAAATAATCCATATTATAATTTGTTTTATTTCTGAGCTTTTTGAATTCGTATTTTCTAATGCAGATATTTTAAAATAACATATGATAACATAAATTACATGCAAAATGGCAATAAGGTTAAGAAAACTGAAATTTCTTATTGATGTAAGTATAATAGTAACAGTATAACATTCCACAAAATTAATTCTTTACTCTTCTGTTAATTAGGTACTCGGTATATTAATTGCTCTTCCAACGTACGATTTATTTCATTGTGTTAATGAGGGGAAAATGTAAACATATTCAAAATATTTTAACCTTACCTATAGAATTTTCTTGGCAAGCAATATGCAGAGCTGTACGTCCTTGTATGTCAATGCTGGTTACATTTGCTCCTTTTTCTAGAAGCAACTTAGTTAAATCGTAATCAAAAATAATTACGGCCAGTTGGAGGAGAATGTTCCCCAAGGCGTCGTCATAATTGAAACTCCAGTAATCGGGATATGTGAAGTTTTCTGAAAATAAAAATTGCCCAATATGAAAACATCTAGATAGTACGTAAATATGAATTCATACATGATTTATTAAAAGATTATAAAAAAGTTCATATCAAAGTACAGCAATTTCTGAAGTCTTTGTAGCTCTTTTACATAAATATTACATTAGAAAGGACGATTTTACGATACTTTCTTTTGTTCCTGATCACAAACATTTATAAGAAAATGTTATTTAAGATCTGTAAAATTATTAACACAAATAATATTTTTGTCTTGATTTTATGGGGGGAAAAGAGAATACCTCTCCCCCTCACACACAAAAGGAAAATGGAATAAACTCGAGAGGCACAATTAGAGTTTTCTTAATACAAAATAAACTCACGGAATCTTCTTATAAAAATTCTAAATGAGAGCAGTTCATCATGTTCATGCAGAATGTATTTTCATATTACGTGCAAAAGTGTATTAGAATAAAATATAGAATTTTTTTTTAAATCGAATATCGGGCACTTCCCTTTTTGCTGCATTGGCCACTCCTAAGGACAGAAGTGGTGGTCATTTTATTGTGGAGTAACCTAATATGCGGCCACCGTTACCTATTATGAAGGATCAGACAACTTATGTTTATGCCTTCTCCGGGTGTGAAATGTGTAATTTTTGCCAAAGGATGTCTAGCGAAATATTGTATATCCCGTTATTTTCAGGTTTTCATGAAATATCAGCTGCTTGTTCAAAATGTCCAAATATACGTGTGTGAGTTTATTTTCAGAAATTTTTTAATAGACAATTTTCCTTTTTAAAATAAAAATCCTTTTGAATAACTTTTTCGAAAACAGATTTAAAAAAAAAGTGTTCAACACTATACCCGAAAGAAAAACAAAGATTATTTCGCTAATATTTAGTAATTGGTATTTGCATTTAAAACTGGAAAACGCAAGTGTCCAAAAACAAATGTGAGTGCTATAAATCAAATTTATTAACTAAACGAAAATCCAAAATTTAGGTTTCGTAGAAAACAAATTTAAAAAACATTATTTTTAAAAAGTGTATTTAATTAAATGCATGTAAAAGAAATTAGTAAATTAAGCTCACAATTAAATTTTTGAGACCTTAATTTCATTTTTTCATTAAAACTCGAAAAACATTATCTGAGCAACATTTCCACATTTTTAACTTTTTCTAGAATGCTTCTGATGCTAGATGAAAGAGATAATTTTAAAAATGAAAATAGATGAACACTAAACGTGGACCATTCAATTCACTCTCAAATGGTAAAGAATGTAGCCTTCAAGGCTAAAGCAAGTTGAGAACAAGTGATGAAAATGTACTAAAGTTGCAAAAATCACAAATGTTTCTGCTGGACATCAGGGAGTTGGTAACAATCTCAAATCTTGATTATTAATTTTACTTAAGAAACTGCTTTTATTAATTTACAGCAACAAATATATTTTTAAATTTATTGGCTCTTTTGCATCATGAAACATTGTAAACTACATATGCAAATCAATTCAGTTTACCTGGTACAGGACATTTAAATCGTAAGAACAGACTCCGAGCGGATTGTCGAACATTACCAGTTGTCGCTGAAATGAAGATATAATTCGCATGGGACCCTCTTCTTAAATACTGTTTGATAACTGTAGTGTCTCTATTCTTCAAAGCATGGATCGCTGCGTCAACAAGATTCTTCATAGCCTGCAAAAAGTGATGTGTTTTAAAAAAATGGTTTCATTTACATTAACTAAGAAAAACCTGTTATTGATAGATAAACCTACAAAATTCCCTTAAATCTGAACCAATAGCAGCAAAAAGAAATAGATGGCTCACGTCACTATTATCTGGATATACACACTTTATCTTTCTTGTTATTGTTTACAATCCATATTACTTTTAATATGCTACCATATTAAATAAACAATTTCATGCATATTATTGAACATAGTATATCACTAATAATAATGTATTTAATTACCTGTTTTTATTTTATTATTAATATACTATTTTGAAGTAATGAACATTTTTATGCCTTTATTCCATTATTAACTGAAATAAAATGTATCAAAGAATTCGTTTGCTTATACTTAGCACAAGTAGAATGCCCAACGTATTTCTAATTAGACCATATTTACTTATGATGCAGTAGCAATACGTAGAAGAAATCTGAAAGTATGGGTCACTATTTAAATGAGATATTAGGAACTCCAGAAGAATTACTTTTGCGGCTATCTAATTAGCATTACTTTCAACATTTATGTTCATGAATAGATAATGGAGGTTTTTTTTTTTTTTTTTTTTTTTTTTTTTTTTTTTTTTTTTTTTCACGGCAGTCTTTGAAACCCAAAGGAATAATCTGTGAAAAACTAGGAATTTAATTCTTGATGAATTTGGGCAAACAGAAATTTTCGCGCATTCCTCTTACATGCGAACAAGAATATAGATTGACATATTGCTGCTCCTGGAAAAAGGATTGAGCTATCTATATCTATAAAGAGCGTATTCTTTCTTACTGTTTTCCTGGTTCTTTTTATTACTTCTAACAAAACACGCATGCGAATATCAATTCATACCAGTGTAGTTAACCGAACTTTAAAATACAGTCAAAAGTCGTTAATTCGGACACCCATAATCCGGAATGATCTGTAATCCGGACTTCAAAGCTAAAATCTTTCTGCGCGTGCGCCGCGTTGACACATGTCATAGGCATTTACGCTTGCGCATAAGACCTTTACGACTGCGCATATGTGTGTGCACAAGCGCAGAATACGTTTTCATGTGCGCGTTTTATGTATAACGAACGGTATATGCTAAAATTATCTTTTTCAGTTAATGTTGATGATTGCGTTGTTCCTTAATCTTCGAATTATTTCCGGCTTATTATTTTTTGTAGACTGTAAGAGCAATTTTATAAAAGTAAACTTGAACATTCGATTATGTCAAATAGAATTTCCGATACTGGAGCTCCCAAAGGATCTACAAAACGAAAGTATGTTCCGATGTCCATCAAACAAAAAGTGGAATTACTGCAAAAAATGGACAAAGACATGAAGAAGGTGACAGAGAGGTTAGTGAAAACGAAAAAATTTCGATTGACAAGTTAGTCGGTATTCTCGGCACAGCAATGACGGGACTTGAACAGCGGAACTTTGTAACTGAACAAGAAATTATGTCTGTTTATGGAATTAAAGACAAAGTATTATCTCATAAAACGAAGCAACTTAAACAACTTACATTGAAAGAAATGTTTAATAAAGTAAACAAATAAATATTAAGCTTTTTTTTTTTCTAAATTTTGATACCCTTTAGATCATAATTGTTCTTTATTTCATAAATTACGGTTTCATATTTTTAATTTTAGAATTTCTGCGTGCCATCTTACGAGATTTAAACTGATGATCTATAATCCGGAATCGCCAAAGTCCCGACGAGTCCGGATTAACGACTTTTGACTGTATGTTAAGGACCCATGCAATAAATACATAACTACTTCTTGACTTCGAAAATAACTTAAAATGTGATTATAATATCTTAAATGGCTAACTAGATTGTGTGTGTCTGAATAGTTACAATTTTCTCAATGGAATTTCTCTAAATTTATTTAGCTAACTATAATTTACTTATACGTAATAATGCAATTTAATGTTAATATATGAAAATAAATTTAGTGAAATTATACATGAAATTTTACTGTGCATTCTACTGCCCGAATTTTAAACTACATTATTCGAAGAATTCATGCAAATTAATTTTTTTTAATAAAATGTGCTGAATATGTTCCAATCTACACGTCTAACCACACATGATAAACAACTCACCAGACATCCTACGTTTCCCAAAATGCTGGCAAAGAATCATCGTTTCGGTAAATATGAGCAAAGGAATTTAATTATTGGATGATGACATAGTAAGCTGAGTTTTCTCCACTAAATTTTGATAAGCACGTATGAAGATGGATAATAAAAGTATTCTATTCTTTTCCTAATGATAAACTCTAAAGTATAACGATTAAAATGCAGTTCTCGGGCTTTGTATCTTCACATTAATGCAATTCTCCAATTGTAAAGCACAATTCATGTGCTTAGAATTCAAACGTATTTGATAAGACATGCAAAATTTCTGCAGTTAAAGAATTACTGAAGTTCTCTTATAGGGTCCTTGTTTTTTTTTTTTTTTTTTTTTTTTTTTTTGAAAAAAGAAAGAAAAGCAAAGCTGGAGAAGAATTCCCAGCCGGGACTCGAACAGTGATTTGCTCGAATACATGCTGAGTATATAAAGAATTATTTTCAATCATATTTTACCTCGGGTGCCAGTGTAAAGTCATTAGATTATTTTGAAGCAGGATAACATGAAAAATGAACAATTGCCTCGCCGTGCTTCGAACCTGGATTTCTCAAATACGCACAGAGTGTGTTACTATTACACCACGAAGGCATTCTGGAAGGACGGAGATATTATCTTACAGCTTAATTTTTTTAAATATACAGGGACTACTTTTACGTAACTTATCACTCAAAAAACGTATCAAACGAGAAGCTGTAGTTATCGAAAACTTAAGCTATAATAATCGTTAAGAGTAATGTAAGAACAAGTAGTGTGGCAAAAAAAACAGAACATGGATTAATGCATTTTCTTTTCTTTCATCCTTCCACAACCTAATATCATTTTTTACTACTATTTTCATCTTGCTAGCACTTGATATTATTTAATATTTGCAATATAATTTTTTATTCGTTTCTAATGTATTTTATTCCATTCAACTTAACCTTTGCTATAAATCACTCTATTTTGCGTATGTGTTTTTAGGTGTGGTGTATTTAATTATGGCAAAGCACACGAGGGCTATCTGCCTAAAGGGAGGGATGCCTTTCGTGGAGGACTTCCTAAGGAAAACTGGCTCGTATACACATTACACATGGGGAAAACCACGAAAACACCCATGCAGCCAGCCCGTTCGCGGGATTCGAACCTCAGACCGAACTACCAGTGTTCAGTGTCTTTACCGCTCGGCCGCTGGTGGGCCGTATGTGTTTTTAGAATCTTTTTATTTCTTTTCGACCTTTCATGGTGCTCTGCCTCTTCGAAATGTATGATCGAGTATTATACCATACTGGATTATTATGCAATACTTCACAGGTGCATTAAAGAAGTTAAACAATAAAGAATCTGCATAAATGTGTGTATGTATCTCGGATTGTAAAAGACGTTGGTACCTACAGCAATAAAATTTCGAATAACGCAATTCCTCACCAGAACACGGGCACATGGAAGAACGAAATCTGAATTTAATTTATTACCTATTTAATATTTTGTAAAAGATTAACGAATTTTTTATTTACAAAGTGAACGATCTCAAAACGAACAATAGCGACACTGTTCGGGATAAAAACTTTCTCACCAGGGCGCGAGTCTGTCTATCGGAAATTCTAAAATATATAAGACATGCTGATTTTAAATATTTTTTAGTATTTCTGTTGAAGTCAATTTTATGCGTTTTATGTGAGAAGAACATATTTAAGAAATAAAGCTCAAAATGTTAAAAAAATGCCCATCTAGGCGTAAATATAAAATTTTAAAGCTTCCAGATTTTTTTTATTTAATTTTTTAAATTTTTGTTTACCACTTTTCTAAATAACTCTCTATCCAATATTATACTTTCATTGAAGTATTGAGAAATGAACTAATACTAACTCTAAACTACATTTGCAAATGTTATTTTTATAAATATTAAACATTTAATAATTAGCTACTATTTGGTATGAGCATCACGAAGAGAGAAATAGGCTATGCATTGAAACCTAACACTGGTAAAAGTAATTAATTTTAGACCATATGCATTATCCTAACGTATATCAGAGCAGATATATTCTTTGTGCATATACTACAAGGTAAACTCATTTTCCACTTAAGCCCAATTTTACATTTTCTTTCCATCAAACAAGTAAGGTTCGAAAAATAAAGAGAACTCCCACACAAAGGAGACGCTCATTGCAAGCAAGCAATAAAGTAAAAAAAATATGCAGTACCGTATCCTGAATAACATTTTCTTCCGTATAAAATAATTCCCCATGTTTCAACGTGATGATAAATATCCTTTAATTAATATCAAATTTATAGAGGGGTTGGAAACTATACCATATGTTTTAGATTAAATTCTGTCATATTAAAAATTTATCATTCTATACCTCATGGAGAAGTTTTTACAGTGGCAATTATTCCAAAATTTCCTGCAACGCGAAAGCATATGAAGAAATTTTAGCTTTAAGATACTAAAATATCGTAAAATGATATAACTCATTTATTAACAGAAACTTCAGAACTTTGAACAAGAAAAGCAATTTAAGAACATTTTAGATGTTTTCCTCTTACACGCTTTTGATATTAAAAGAATATTACAAATTCAGACAGTAAACAAAACTACAAAACGGTCTCATTTTTTAAAACATAGCCTTTAATTATGCCCGCAATTTTCGAAACAAGCGGAAAATTAAGGGTCTGTAAAACAAAATTACCAATTGCAAGTAGCCAGCATATGACAGGTTTCCACCAATTATGTTTTAGCGATATTGTCAGTGGTAGGGTACGAACTGTGCCAAATCTGATCGAAGATCTCCGTCCCCCTCTTATCTAATCCACGAACTGCGCAACGTTTCCTGTCCCCTATTTCTTTCACAAGAAGATTGGGTGCTACAATAAGTCAT